ATACAAATAAAATCAATTTAAATAATTAGAGAAATATTAATTGTTCATGGGTAGGCAGGACTACTATAATAAAAATAACAATTTTACCTAAATCATTCAATGCCGTCCCAATTAAATTACCAAGAAATCATTTGACTGAGTTAGAAAAAATAATAACAAAATTCATTTAGAACAAAAGGTCAAGAATGTCAAAGGAACTAATGAAAAAAAATGTAAAGGAAGGAGGTTTAGTAGTACCAGATTTTAAACTATATTACAAGGCAGTAATTACCAAAATATCAGGTACTAGCTAAGGAATAAAAGGTGGATTGGTTTAACAGAGTAGACATACAACATATAGCAGCAAAGGGCTACAGTAACGTTGTGTTTTACAAGTGTAAAGACTTAAGTTTTGAGGATAAAAATTCATGATTTGATAAGAATTGTTGGGAAAACTGGAAAGCTGTCTGGCAGAAAGTGGGCATATACCATTTACCATCTTACACCATTTACCAAGATAAAAGTCAAATGGATACATGACCCAGATATGAAGGGAGATATTACAAGAAAATTAGAAGAACATGAAGCATATTACTTATCAGACCTAAGGATGGGAGAAGAATTTTTGAATAAACAATAGAGAGTGCTGTGAGGTATAAAACGGATAATTTTGATATCATTACATTTAAAAAGTTTTATATAAATAAAACCAACATAGTCAAGATCAGAAGGCAAGCAGAAAATTGGGGGGAAATTTTTATACACAGCTTCTCAGATAAAGGTCTCAAATCTCAACTATAAAAAGAACTTTGCCAAATCTATATGAACGTAAGTCATTCCCCTATTGATAAATGGTCAAAGGATATGAACAAGCAGTTATCTGATGAAGAAATCAAAACAATTTACAGGCACATAAAAATGCTCTAAATCATTATTGATTAGAGAAATGCAGATTAGAGCAACCTTGAGATATCATTTGATTTGACTTATCAGATTGGTTAAAATGACTGAAAGGAAAAGCGATAGATATTGGAGGGAATGTGGAAAAATTGGGACACTAATTCATTGTTGGCGGAACCCCACCCTGCCCCTGAAGACACCGTGCTTGCCTGCCCCCGGTACCAAGCCCCGGCGAAGGCTCAGGCATCCCTGACAATGAGTTCTCTTCCCATCATGGCTCCGTGCCGCCATCTATATAACCAGGCAGCGACTCTCCATGAGAAATGAGGCTCCCTCAACAAGCTGAGAAGAAAGGGAAGCGAGGTCTTCATGGATAATTCCCCTGCAGAGCCTGCCTCCTTATGATAGGACTGAAAGGTAGAGTCAAGATCCCACTGCTAAACGTCTGTGGTACCAAAAAACAAAGCCTTGCAGCCTTCCCTCCAACCAGGGGGCCATCCTCTCGGGTACAGACAGGTTAGGCCCACACAAGATTCTCTGGAGCTTGCAGCCACAGAGATAACCATCTAATGGCCCTCACTCCAAAGAGATCTGTGCTCCCTCCACCGTGGAGGATGTTTTGTCCAAGCTCCCTCCAGACTAGGTGGGTCTCCATGATGCTGGGCATCGTCCAGGGCCTCTGCCAAGACATTCGGGATAGATTAAAAGAGACTGGCCTGATGATCCACGTAGGGAAACCAAAGACAAAAAATGCCTTGGGTCTGGCTGGTGACACGCAGTGTGCACTCGGTACCCTGGGTCAGCACGGTGGACTTGGCTGTCCTCAAACTGAGAGGAAGACAGCATGACAGGCCCTGGTAGCGGAAGTCATGCACTCCTTTCCAACATTCACTTTCTCCCAGAGATGCTACAGCATTAGGAACACCCGAGGACAATGGAGAGTCACAGTGGGCGGGAGGAGGCTGTGCTGTGTCTCCAGGGGATGACCTAGGCTCTGGAAACGGCCAAAGGGATACCACTGGGCAACATGGAAGATGTGAACAGAGGCTGTCCAGTGCTCGGGTGAAGACAAGGGACAATAAAACGCCAATCCAGGAGAGGAAGATGTACAGCACAGAGGATGGACAGCAAGGACAACTACCTGGGACAAGACGTGCAGTGCACTACCCTGATGGGGGGAGGGGGAGGAAGAGAAGGGAGAGGAGGGAAGGAGGAGAGAAAGGAGGAGGAAGAGGAGGGGGAGGGAGAGGGAGAGAAGCGAGGGAAGAGGAGGGAGAGAAGAGAGGAGGGAAGGAGGAGGGAAAGGAGGAAGAGGGGGGAGGAGGAGGGAGAGAAGAGAGAGGAAGAGGAGGGAGAGAAGGGAGAGGAGGGAAGGAGGAGGGAAAGGAGGGGGAGTAAGAGGAGAAGGAGAGGTCAATCAGAAAAGGTCAGAAGTGCTGGGTGAAGCCCAGGGACTGAGGCTACTTCGCGGGGCTCTGGGAGGTGTAGACACTAACAGCCACACTGGGCATGCTCTTCCCCAACAACAACACCCGATTCTAGGAGAGCACACATCAGTGTCTAGTAAACGCCAGGCACAGAGGGTCCCTTTCCTAAGGCTTTTGTAACAGACTAATATTTTTTAAATCCCTACCTGATCTTACTTCATGAAAATCAATAACCACTACACAATGGTAATCACCTTTTTATTTAAACAGATTAAAGTGAAATGAACCTGTAAATAGATAAACAAATGCAGTCTAACCCATCTGTTGGCCACTCCTCAGCAAAGAAACAAAGAACAGTGTAAATTTTCCAGAAAAAAAGTGTCATCATTCAGTCATAAAATCCATATCTTAATTCTAAATTGAAGCTATTAAGGAAGAGCTGAGTGGTTTGATTTTAAAATTAATGTCTGTGAAGTAATTGTAAAGCTTAATTATACTGAAAATCGTCCACGTCTTCCCCCATCTGGCTCCCTAGGACAGTCCCCAAAACAACGTCTTGAATCACTCCCTCTGCCCGCGGAGTCAATGTTTGGGGACAAAATGCCAAGGTCTGTGGGGGAGACACCAGCTGGAGAATATTTCGCCCCAGTTTACAAACCTCTAACCCAAGCACACAGGCGCTGGAAGCCTGACACTCGGAGGGAGATGGCGGGGTAGTTTTGAACACAATTGTGTCTCTCCTTTAAATGCTGAAAAGGGGAGGGATGGTCAGCTGGGGAAGGGCAGTAAGGGAAGTAAGGGCAGGGCAAAGGTTCTAAGGCCTGAGAAAATGAATCTGAAGGCAAAGCTTCGTGGATGGGGTTCCAAGGGGGGGATTTCATGTCCTGGGCAGAATGCTGGCCTTGGAGTCCAGAAGGCCAAGTTCAAATCCAGCCGCTGATACACGGGACCCCTGGCAAGACTCTTAACCTGCAGAGGAGTGACAGACAGCTTGTGTCCTGCGTGTAATGGGGAATCCCTGCGCTGATGCCATCTCTGCTCCTTCACGGATCCCCACTTTCCTATTCCAAGGGTCCAGCAAGAACAGTCAAACAAAGAACAGCCCAGCGGCCAGGCTTCCAAACAGACCTCTCGGATACAAGTGGAGGGAGGTCTACGTGTATAAACCAGCGCGCCTCAGCCTAACGGTGTGATGGTGACAGGAGAGCGGAGTGAAAACACAGGCGGACAATGGTGACCCTAACAGGGCGGCCCGCTTACATGAACTGGACTATCTTAGTCATCTATCTAAAAAAAAACTTAGCAGGAAGAAGCGTGCCCTTTATTCAAAGACACATTTTTAAATGGGTATGATAGATTTAGAGATATTTTAAAATACTGTGACCCACTGCTAAGATGATCACAGCCCTAATGGAAACAATCAGCTGGGATCTAGGATGCACATACGGGATGACGCTCAGACGATGCTCAGACATGAGGTGCCTCGGGCCTTCCCTGGGCTCACTCACGTCCCAGGCTCTTCTCTGTCCTGCTTCAGCTCTCCCTCCCGGGTGTCCCTCTCTGGACCAATCCTGAAGGGTCCCACCCTGTTGGGGGCCTCGCTGAGGGACACGCGGACTTGCCAGCCCCTCCCTGTCTCATTCCTTCCCGCCCAGTCAGGCAAGAAAATGGAATTTTAAGTGAGACACTCGCCAGTGTTAGGCCATCCAAAGCACGGCAACACGGGGAATCCCTGACATATAAACCGGACCTGATTTACAACCAGATCATCTTCCCAAATTTCAGTCAAAAGTTGCTCTGTGTGTGTGTATTTAATTCTACAGGATTTAATTCTACATTTTAAAAAGAGCACACAGACCTAAAAATTCTAAAAGAAAGCCTTTGCTTCTTTTAACAAGTGGAAACAGGCACTGCTTCTAGCAAAACACCCCACTGAAAAAGTAAAGTTTCTACTTAATGGCAGCATTGGAAAGCCCTGACTCTGATCATTAAAAGCCACAGAAATTCTGAACAACTCTGACACAAAGACTTCTAATTTATCCTGTCGTTCTACAAGTGTCTGCAAATCAGTCAGGTCCAAAGGCCATAACCATAGCAGCCAACAGACCGTTTAAAATTATCAGCACATCAGCGCCAGCACGGCGGCAGCTAAGTACTGTTAAAATGACAGTGTGGGGCCCAAGTCCCAACTCCAACCATGGCGCCTTTTCCGGTGATTACAGCTATGCAGAAAGTACACCAAAGTCACTATAATTGGAAATGGAAAAATTGCCGGCACTACATTCACAGTTATACTTTACATGGACTGATAATGGGGGGAAAGGGAGGGCAAAATTGTTTTCTCTGTTCAGTTCCTCAGAAAAATCACACCCTAACGATCGTCTTTGGGCTATCTTTCCTAGTCATTTAACAAGCATTATGTGCAAGGACTCAAAATGAAAGTTTCTAGAAATTAAGTTTTGTTGTTTAGAAATAAATACAAAAGACAGAATAATTTTGGCCTCCCTCTATTTTATAGACTAAGTGAGAAATCTAGTATTACACATAGTCATAGTTTAATACGGTGCTTTGAATAGAGGCAGACGGGCCCAGAATGCCTTAGCACACTGATTTTGTAAAACCTCACAAAAATGATTATATTTGAAAGACTAAAACAATCTTGTTTATTTCAAAGAGAGAAAAAATAAAGCAAACCTGGTGAATTATCTGAGCCACAGGAAGCTGCGCAGCGTAACTAAGTGGTTCTGCTAGCTCTTCATCCTCATGGCATTTGAGGTGACTGGGGAAAAAATGAAAACATAAAAATAACATAAATGCTCAAACACATTAAATGCTGATATTAAAAATACAAAGTTAAATATAACTTTAAATATCATTTATTATTAAATTCAAATTTAACACAAATGTTCACACTACTCTAAAATTCAGTATTTATCAAACATCTTTGAAAAAATGTTCATAGCGGAGGGTAAAATCTAATTTCTTACATGCCGGTGGACCTTTCTAGCTGCCTCCTTCACCTCCCTCTCACTCTCTATGGCCCCTGGCTCTTCTTCAGTCTCACATGAGTTACATGGTGCAGCTTGTTTGTATTCATCTTGGAGACTACTGGACACCGTGTCTCCCCACCATGTGCAATGCCAGAGGGACACTGACATTAAAGAGACAGGATTTTGTTTCAGAGGAAAGTCTCAGGGACATTAGAGCAAAGACAATTCTGCCTGTCTTTCTCCTCCTGGGCTCGACCATCCAAGAGAGGACAGGAAAAATGAAAAGAGCCCTCTAGCCCATTTGGTGGCTCTCTTGTGATGAATCTAATAGGACGGGCAGGCATGAGTGGGCTTCCATCTACATTTACAGGAAGGAAGAACCAAACGGATGTGACCGGATTGTAGATCCACCTCAGTATCTGCCCATATAATTATGAGGGTGAGGGCAGATCCCACTGGATCTGATATTGGATTTACTACTGGCGCATCTGAGGATTCCTCCATAGCAAACCCACAGGCAAAAACAAAAGCAATCTTCAATGAAGTGATTCTGTGCTATACATTCTATGGTTCTACTGAAATGAATATAAGATCTTGACATAAAATAACAAAGCATGGGGCTTTAGTTATAAGCAGTCTATTTTCCCAAAATAAAGATCATTCTGATCATACTTCACTATATTACCTGACCATACTGAATATTAAGAATGGCCCTCAACAGAGGGTGATCTTTTTTTCTTTTTCAATGAATTTTATACTGATTTGTCCAGCCCCCAAACTATTTTCTGTCCAAGCTCCATGGGAAAAATTAATAATACAACACAACACAGCCCAGTCCTTGAGGTCTGATCTATAGAGAAAAGAGAATATTCAGTCTTAGGAGCATCTCTCTAAGAAGGAATAAAGATATTTTAAAGATCAACAACCCATTAAGAGGCATGAATGAAGAATATTTTCTATCATCAACCAGAACTTAAAACTACTGAATGAAGACACCTTAAAATAAATGCAGAGACATATGCATCACATAAAAGTTAATGAAGAAAAGTAATTAACTTATTAAACACCTACTCTGTGCCAGGCACGGGAGACACAAGCTCCAAGAATGAGCCAGGCCCGACATGGAAGAGCCACTGCATTCTTACCATCCCAACTTCACAATCCAAGTGGTTCTATCTCCTTCTACGGACCACCACACAAATTTCACTCTAAAACTAGTCCTCAATAACATCAAACGCATGCTACCTACACAGCATTTGTGGCCACCAAACCACCTTTGGGTCCAACCAGTTACAGCAAAGTAGCCCATTTCACAGGCTCTCCTCAATGAAGGAGAGTGGAGTCCCTGGAACTTGCCTCTCCATGGGCCCCAAGGTAACAGCAACCTCCTTTCATGGGGCTGTGGGTCCCCTTGACTCACAGTCTTTGACCACTGGGAAGGGAACTGCATCTTCTGTGCAAAGGCTCCTTGAAGTGGATATTAAAAAGTCGAGAGAGTCCATCACAAGCTCGCTAAGATGTTTCAGCCTCATTCACAGCATTTCAGAGGTGAGAGGGAACTCAGAGGTCTCGCCATCACCTCCCCCTGACCAGAGATCGCCTAGGACAAGCCAAGCCGTTCATAAGTATTCATGGCTGCTCGCCACAGGTGAGTGGGGTAATAGAAAGGGCAGTCGGGAGCAACCCCTGAGAGGAGTGGGCTGCCTCAGGACGCGGTGGATTGCCCTTCACTGGAAAGCTTCAAGGAGACCTGCGTGACCGTGTATTTTTCAGGTATGTAGTGGAGGGAACAGATGCCAACAGCCTCACCCACCTCAGAATTCTGTGATTCAAAGGCCTGGACATTGGGCAACTTCCATGAAGAGGTGGGCACAAGGGAGAACTGTGAGACCGACTCTGGCAGAGCCAGCCAAGAAGCCGTGCCGAAGCCCATCTCATCAAAGTCCTCTTTTTTAGAAGAGGCAAATGACAAACAAGGCAGGTAGCAAAAGGCATTGCCAAAAAAGAATGAATGGAGGGGCGCCACAGGAATCCCTCTACAGGCCCAGAGGGAGAGCTATCTGCACGGCGCCATCACAGCCCCTTCTACTCAGGCCTGCATCAGCTGAAGAGCGCCCCACAATCGACCCGGGGGACACCTGAAGTGAAACAGACCTACACATCAGGCAGCATCAGAGTCTGAATGCTATAACTGATTCTACTCCCATAATGAACGGAGGCTGGGGGCAATGAGAGCTGGGTTCAAACCCGGCCTCAGACACTGATCAGCTCTGGGCATTTCTGCCTCAGTTTCCTCAACTGTAAAATGGAGATAATACTAGCAAGATGCTTAGCACCGTGCCTTGCACACAGCCAATGTTCAATGAATGCCTGCTTCCTTCCTGCCTTCCCTAAACAATCCTAAGGGCCATAATTAAAACTGTCTCACTAATGATCCAATGCCTCCAGGATCCCCCAAATAGAGGGGCTCCCAGTGTGGCTCTTATCCATCCCTTCCCATAACTCTCTGGCTTCAGGCCTACCCAACATACTCTGGGCCTTTTTCTAAAAACATCTCCTGACTTGACATTGATGCACTTGTCATCTCTTGCTCTTAGCTCCATGACAGGCCCCATTTCTTTAATACCATCTCTTCAACCACTGTTGGGTAGAGTTCTTAGCCCAACTCTCTTCTAAAAGCTATTCTGTTCTTTGTTACTATCATTTCCCAACAGTCCCTGACTCCAGGCCCTCCTTTTAGAACAAACACCATTAAACAAACCAATAACAGCCTCCTTCACAAAGTTCTTCCATACTGGTTGGCACCAAAACCCCTGGTCCTGCTTTCATACTGATTGAGCTGGGCATCACTTCTATGCAATGAAAGCTCCTCCAGGGCAGGGACCACCCTCCTTTGGCACTTGGCTCTCTAGGTGGCCGAGAGACCCTTCCTCACTAACACTTGTTTGCCACTGACTCTGCCCAGACCTCCACAAGGTGAGGAGATGGAGTCACCAGAGGTGGGGGTCAGTGGCAGCCCTCCAAACGCGGGACAGACGCAGGACCAGAATTCTGGGGTGTTCGTGGTCTGTGTCTTGGTTGTCCTCTGTGTGCAGACGTTACCCAAGAGCACATGTGTTTTCATTTGGTCTTCCTGGCTCTCGTTCTTGATACGGGCACCATTGAGGGTTGGGGAAACATTATAGTAAAGTCATGGCGACAAGGCACTGGGCCTGAAACCAGGACAGGCAGAAAAACAGACTCAACAGCACAGTCAAATAAAACAAGGAGCATCGATCCCAAAGAGAAAACCACTCTGCAGCCTCAGCAGTGACACTCACTTCTCTCTGACATCGCTTAATTAGGTCTCTTTGGTGAAGGGGGACCAGGGAGAGAACCTGTTCTCCAAGAATGGCTCTTGAAAGGAATGCCTCCAGGAATTAAGAAAAGAGGAGACGAAGACCAGTGCAGAGACCACCCGGAGACATGAAATCAATGCCTACAAAGGGTTGATTGTGTGCCACAAAGGTGCTCAGATGTAACGGTCGCACGGCCCTGAAAGGGATTCCCAGAAGACCCAGAGGGACGTGTCCCCTTCCCTTCCCTTGGCCCTGCTGTGGACCGTGGACTGGTCGAGGCATGGAAGGGAACATGCAGAGTTTGGAACGATAGACGGTCATTGTCAGATGGGCTGTGAACTTGATATCAAGGAAACCATCCTCAATTTGAGAGATGGTGGGCTCTCCCTTGTTGGAAGCAGATTTCCAAGTAGAGGCTGAGCAAGCACTCACTGGGTATGTTCCTGGTGTAGGGATTTCCTTCAGCTCGGGGGCATCCTGGGTGCCTGGGGATGCTCCCGCCAAGTCTAAGATTCTGTGATTCTGTTAGGTGATTGCACGAGCAGCTTGTAGAACTTGTTTGTCAGCACATCTGTCTTGGACAAACCAATGGAAGCGTCATCTACACCACGATCAGTAAAACAAATCAACCCCTGCCCTCCTGGAGTTCACATTCCAAGGGGAGGAAACCATGGAAGAGATCTTGGCTGTGAGCCCGATGAGCCCAATAGAGGATCCCTGCTCCATAGGGGCCAGAGAGTTCCCTGCTCCTCTCTCACCCTCATTCTGCTCTTCCATGAATGAAGACAGCTGGACTGGCCAGCCTCGAAGGTCCCTCTCAACTCTACGTCTAAGATGCCATGATCCCATGTGGTTCCCTCATGCCCCTTCACAGGTGATTAGGGCCTTGAACCTCACCTTCTTCTCTCCCATCAAAACCTGCCTCCTAATAATCCTTCCTTCTCAGGTATCAAGGCCTTTAGCCAGGATTCTCCACCCTGAGGCCTCCAATGTCCTAGACACTTCTCTATGGAGGATTTATGGTAAAAACATGGACAAGAGTTACACAGATAAACTGGCGTGGAGATTTTTGCCCACACTAATGAAATCATGGATCAAAGTATCAAAGTAATTTATAAAACTGCAAACTGATTTAATAATATAGGCTGAGGGTAGAAGAAGAGAGAGTAATGATTTACAATCAACTCCACTTTACCCTGAAGTCCTTGGGAGCAGGAGAAGGGCAAAACAGAGAAAGGATAACTGAAGGGCTAAAAAAAAATCTCCTACCACCACCTTTTCTAAGAGCATTTTAAACAATCAGTCCAGATGACTTGAGATCGATTTCCTTTCTCTTCTCTTCCTCCTCTCTGGTGATGGTGAAAAACACTGAGGCAGCGAGGATGGCAGTCCGAAGAGCAGGGCTCACATCTCCAGCCCCCCCTTCCTGCCTGTATTCACCCTCAAGCAAA